TTTTTTGCGCTGATAAACGTCAAAAAAAGTGACGCTCAAGACTGCCTGACGTACTTTTATCCGCGATTTACCTTTCTCCCACTACCGATATATTCCCTCCTGTTTCTCTTTACTCTTTGGTCAAAACTGACCCAGCCGCAGTTGACCGAAGGATACATCTTGCGATGGTTATATAGGAACATAGGATATAAGAATTCCAATATTGTAGTTTATCAAAATATTGTAATTGTCAAAATAAATAAATTTCATAAGATTTTGTGTATTTGTAATGCGTATTGCAATAAACATGTGTGTAGCTTTATATACTAATTTCAATAAATATATGTATAGTTTTATATATTAAGTTTATCATGAAATCGTACGCGTATGTACGTCGAACATCGGACGCAGTGTGATAAAATAACGATGTTTTGATTGGTCGTGACGGATGACACGACGCTTGACGCGCTCAATGGAAACTCAGCCAAATCTACATTGGCCGCGTTCAGCAGACACAACTGTTGAGTTCGTCTTATCAACACTCACCGTTGATTGGTTGGTTCTAAAAGTAGAAGCCAATCACGTTCGACTGCTACTACTGAGCGGCTTGGTCTACTGAACGCGCCCATTGGTAGAAATGGACAATAGCGACGAAGACGATTCTCGAGAAGACGATTGGTCCATGAACTGTGCCTACCCACCTCGACGATGTGTGTACGGGGCTTAAGTCGGTTTTACGTCACGCGTAGTTCGCGGTTCACGTAGAGCGGTGCTCGATAAATATACACACTTGTCAAATCGATTTGCAATGGCCGGGATTAAAGGTTATTCAACGTATTCCCGATCGTTTTTCACGCGTGCGGCTTTCCGCGGCGTGAATCCTCGCGAAACGTCATCGCCGCGGGGATCTCGCCGCGCGAAAACCGCGACAATCGGCTGTCAAAACATAACCTCGCCGCGCCGTTGTTGTCACCGTCGTTTGACGTTTCACCCGTGCACGGGGCCCTCGCCCTCCTCATTGAGTTTCTCTTAATTTAAGGGCAACGCGCGACCTTCACGTCACGCACGGTTCCTTTCATTCGCCTCTACGCTTCCTCCTAAATTTCGCAAAAAAACGAAAATTGCATTTCAGAAAAGTTTCGTTCTGTAATATCGCGTAGTATTATTTTTTCAATCTATTTCCAGACTCGCATTTTAAAACGATCGTTTGTCCGTTCGATACGAGAAAGATTTATATAAATTTATCGCTACAAATATTGCTACGGCTCCGAGACTGGACAGTCAAAAATGCGTTATTAGTCTTATAAGGATGTAGTCTTTATAATACCGTTTAATGTAATATGTAGAGATTAATATTGTGCTTTTCTTATTTCATGATATTCTTTCCTTGTGACGTTCATCCTCGAAACAGCGTAAGTACCCTTTGCAAGCCAATGATTGGGATACTTTCTCTTAAAATTCATAGATAACTATGATGTCTATTAATTAACAAAATGTAATTGTTATACAACGATGTGATTACAGATTGGTACTGCTAGCATTTGCTGGGTCCATCGGAATGACATTTGTCATTCTCGGTTGTGCATTACCCATATACAAGTGAGTGCATCTCTTTGCATAATCAATTTATTTCAGATATTTAGTTCCCCTAGGATTAGAATGTTACAACACGCACAATTTCCAGAGTATGGTGGCCATTTTTCGTCGTACTGTTCTACATACTGGCACCTATTCCAACTATAATAGCACGCCGCTATACAGATGATTCGGGAACCAACAGTAATCCGTGTTTAGAGTTGGCGATATTTATTACGATGGGATGCGTGGTGTCCTCCTTTGCTCTTCCAATTGTGTTGGCGCGATCTCCGGAGGACCAGCCAGTGGTACGTCGCGCACGTTTCTGCATAGAGCATTATTACAAAACTTTCAAGTCTCAGTGATACGATAAAACAATTGCAAATAACAGTTTTATTGTAACTGACAGTACATTAGGTTTGAATCGATCAGCTGGATTATGTGGTTTATTTGTACTTACAGATACAATGGGGCGCTTGCTACCTGACATTAGCAGGCAATATTGTTGTGTATTCCACTCTAGTCGGATTTTTCATAACCTTCGATCAGGACGATACCGATTACAACATGTGGTGAGGTACTACTGCATCGTACTTACTCATCATGATAAAAAAAAACGTGAGTAATATACGAGTTGATTTCATCTTGAAGGTAGCGAAAGTTAGTCCTTTGAAATACCGAACCCGATACGATATTAATTATTACCGATGAGATAAAATAATTACATTTTAAAGTTTCTCACTTATTTTTGAAATATAGAACTTACACAAAAGACTCGCGGCACTAATTAAAAATACGTCACCTATGCCATATTATAATGCGTGTAATTATTTCAGGTTTTTTATGCGATTAAAGGGAAAAAATATCAATCATGCAGTGCACTGACTGAAAGCTACATGTTTATTCTAAATTATACTATGAAACTTATTGTACACAGTTTACATAATAACCTTAATATGGATACTCTACTATATTGATGCTGCAAAGGAAAAAAATAGTATTATAGTGCACTAACGATAGAATGTCGGTGAGGCTACGCTGGTACGGCTACGCGGTACATTGGATTCTG